CACAGGCAGAATGTTACAGGAGTGTTTCAAGCACTGTGCAAGATGACTGCTTGGCTTCCCCCCCCTACCCCCATGTAGAACTGGGTTCATCTGAAACCTGGGATTTTCACATTCAAAATACTGTTTCCTTGGAAACATTCCATAAAATTAAACTTGTTTTCAATTTGAAATGAAAGACTCAGACTGTCTGTGTCATATTTTGAAACATTTAAATAGAGAAAAATTTAACAGCTCATTTCTTATTGTGATTTTGCAGACAATAAGAATCTTGGATTTGCATATTCCTACAAAATTTTAATGCAGAGTAACTATACTAATGATGAAATTTAATTACTTTTTTAGTGTACTGCATTTCTGACCTTATAGTATAGTGTCGGTGCAGACAGTGTAGGAAACTATAGGACAACATTATTCAAACTTTTTATATCCTTGCAAGTAAGTTGCGAAGGCCCCTTAGAAGATTATTTAGTCTTAAAATTCTTATGGATGTTGCAGTTTTTTTTCTTATACCCCTTTCTAAGAAACAAGGTTGATAGTAAAACCAGTTGCAGCTGTTGTATAGCCTACAATGTTTTGAGTGTTAATTTTACTTTTCTTAATAGTCAATGCATTCAAAACATTAGGACGTTCGTAGTTATATTTTCTGTGAGCGTAAGTATCTGGTAGTGCTTGGACTTACATTCTTATGGGTATTACGGTAACTTAGTTTTTCACACCAAATGGTTGAAGTTGCTTTCTTTAAATATATAACATGTAGGTGATAAAATAGCAGGTTGATTTTTTACTTGGATTTCGAAGCATGATGTAGCTGTTCCCCAGTTCATACTGTCTTTAATAGAAAATGTAGGCACAGTGGAAGTCAAGGAATTTGACTTGTTGCAGATAGCAGGTTGCTAGTGAAACCTCTGTAGTAGGAGGCTATTACAATTTTTATTACTTAAAGATATACTAAATTATTTTACTTGTCTTTAAAAATACAGTATGGAATTGTTTGGTTTTGGTTTTTGGTGTTGTTTTTTTTTAAACTAGAGAAGTGGTTATTTAGTTCTTAAATTTATCTTTAGCCATTAGTAAGCATTCTGAGGTACCTGTGATTTGGTGTCATTTTTGAGATTCTGCATTTCTCTGTATGGAATGGGTGGGATAGGATATAATTAATCTGAATTCTGATTATTATCAACTTCCATATTGAAAGATCTTTCATACACCTTCAATACAGTGGCTAAAAGATTTAATGGAATAGCTTTGCATAAAAATCAGAATTGTGTATCTTTTATATTAACTGCTGGGGTTTTTTCTTTTTCATTATGTTTTAGCAGTCTCCAGTTCTGTACCATCTCTTACTGCTATTTTGTTCCGTCTCTTTGGTTCTGCTTTTTTTTATTTCTCACATTTAGTCTATTCAGGCATCCAAGCTGAAACTTTAGGCTCCAGCAAAAAAGTGAATTTAGCTCTTTGACGGGAAAGATAGTCGAGGAGAAAACAGTTATTGTGAACTCACTGCTTATTATATGTTTCACTGCAGAGAAGCCTAGGTTTTTTACTCTGTGTTAGGAGAAAAAAAATAGATGTCATAGTGCTTGTATTTTTGACATTAACTTTTATTTTGCTTTGTGGCAAAAAGTTGCGTCTTCAGCAAATTTTGAACTCCGGAGTTTTGTAGTATTCCTAAAAATTTCTATTTGACTTGCGGTTGAGAAATGTAAACTCGAAGATGTGCTGAGACATTAAAATGATAATCTATATCTTTAATGAACTGGAAGAAGAATAGATACAATTTGAAATGAAAAGTCAAGAGTACGTAAGATGTACGTGCTTTCTTGGTGCTTAGTACTATTTTGGCTGTGCTTTAAATTGGTTTTCAGTCTCTTATGGGTTGGTTTCCTGCATTCCATGGGTGGTTTTACATGTTGTTTATAATTTTATGAGCTTCTGTGAGACTTGAGCACTTTACTCAGGTGATAAGTAGCAACTGGTGGGACTGAAATACTCAGAGAGAGGGGCTTCTTCCTAAAAAGGGTCCCGGGCCACTTCCTGCCACTTGCCTAGGTAAGCGATGCTCCCAGCGTGGCACCCAAGGATGTTTATGGCTGGAGAGCTGAGATGGAGGCACCATCCACAGGTAGGGAGGGAAGTGATGAAGGAGGTGACATCAGAACTACACCATTATTCACCATCCCCGGTCTCTCAAACCACGCTGTGTTGTGGCAGGTTTTGGAAGGTGCAACATGTCGGAGTGAGGGTTACGGCACGACATGTTCTAAGTGGACCTGTTCTTCCCGTCTGTGGTAATCTTCTAGACCAAACCCATTCGTGTGACAGGACAGCAGGAAATGCATCACGAGCTGACTGAGAACAGTCTGTACCTGTGTTGCACTTGGGTGCTGCTGTGGCTGCTTCTTGGGCCTCCCGAGAAAAACTTACATGCGCAGCTCTGCTGCTGTTTTTCTCCCGATTCTGAGACACATGGTATGTGAACAGGAGGACAATTTATGTAATTCCTCCCACTGAAGCAAGTCTTTTTGCAGACAATGACTCCGGAGCTAAATATGAGCTAAGCTTGTTTAAAAAACAGGCAAAAAAGTAGTTTTAAGCCTACGAAGGTTACAGGTGCCAGGAAAAAAAGAGTTACACGTACTGGTTTGGCATGTACTGTGGATGAATTTTAGAGCATTTAAAGCCTATCTGTCATGGCACTGTTTTCCCTCTCAGTTTATAGTGTACTACATCTAGTTGAGCGTGAGACTAGCTATCCATCTACTGTAACAGATAATAAATTAGCTTAATTGATGAGCCTTTAATTTCACTCACTTCTAAACCATAAATTGTAGCCATTCGTTTTTCCTTTTGAAAGATGTCTGTAATAAATGTGTTAATTATTTGAAATGTTTTAATCTAACTTTACTTGAGTTTCTGTGAATACCACGTCTGCCTGATGAAATGGTATTAACATTCTAAGTAAATGAATCCCAGGGAAAAATATATGCTGTTGAACATCCATCTTCTTACTGAGATGGTATCAGTGCCCTAGTGCCTTCTAGTTGTTGCTAGTGGCTTAAAAGATTCTTGTTTCCAGCTGTATTAAATACAGTGGGTCCTCTCCGTGTTTACAGTTATTACTGTGTTAAAGAGAGGGCTCAGAAGTTACACCAGCTGAAGGAGAAAAAACAGGGGATACCAAAATATTACCTAGATGATGACTTTCTATCTAGCATTTCACATCTTTGTGTAACCTTAATCTTCCTTCGCTAAGAATACTGAAAGGATACTTTGATTGGGATGAAGGGGGTTTGAATATGATTCACATTGAAAGGCTTTTTGCAGTCAGTGGAGTTAAGTTATCTAAAATTATTTTTAAAAATAAATTTACTTCTTTAATAAAGTCACATTAACAGGAGACTGTACAATAACGGATTTTCAGTCTTTACATGAGAATCCTTCATGCATCAAACTCCAGACTATGCCAATAACAATTCTGCCTTTAGTGTTTAAGACAAAAATCAAGGATTTTCCACTTGTTGCTTTCATTTGTAATTGTTTCGTTGACTCTGCTGCTGCTGTGGTGCCTCAGTAACATAATTAGCAATGCAGCAAATACTAATCCTTTTGTAGCCCTTTGCTTCAGCTCTTCAGTATCTCTAGATGTAGTATCAGCTTTATATGTTTCTGAGGTTCCATTTCATGTTGTTGGTATGTTGGAGGGAGACAAGGACGGGTATCATATGTTAGACATGAGTAGAGAAAGGCTTTGTAAATACTGAACACAGAAGCAGTTGGAAGTGATCAATAGAAAAAACAAAGCCCAGTACACAGTTAAGCATATGACTTGTGAGATTTCCTCCTCAGTTTCATTCTATATGAAATGTATGTAAAATAGCAGATTAACCTGTAGTTCCTAGTTGAATAGTTGCTTTAAATTTGCATTTTATGAGATGGGAATACAAAGGTCATGTTTGTTCTCTTAAACTGTTTTCAGAGTGACAAGGGTGAATTTTTTTCATACAGCTTACTAATTATTTCGTGATAAATTTATGTTAACTAATTTGAACTAGTGTCAAAGTGATTTCCATGTTTTGCTAAACTAGGAAATGGTAGGTTTAGGTGATTCTTGGTTGCTTGCTTTTAGTTGCTTGGTTTTTTTGCAGAGGGGGAGGGGGCAGGGTTGAAAGCCTACCTTTTGATCGTGTTTTTTTTTCCTCTTTGGTTTCCTGTCCTCTTGGTCATGAAATGTCTTTTGCTTAAGAAACTGAAGTAAAACAGATTTTGCTAACTTCAAATAGTGTGATTTTTGGCAGGAGGAATTACTAATTTCAACTTTCCAATGTTTGCTATTAAATTGTTAACAATTGTACTGGATACTGACTTTATTAAAACTACCTTTGTAAAGCTGACTGGGTTTAAACTCAAGATCACTGGCGATATGTTGAAATTTTTTTCCTTTTTAGTTTGCCAACAGCTAAGTAATGTTGCTGGTAAATTTCTCAAGATGGCATTCCTGTGATCCAGGCCTTTAATGTTTTAGTCTGATCTTTTCATAACTGCAAGGATGCATTTTGCTGCTGAAATAATGTACCGTTTTGCATGTATTTTGTAAAATTACTTGTTCCATTTTGTCTGCAAAATACGACTATGTACATCGAAGGTGATGAGATTGGTACGCGGATAGCTTTACCCCTTTACTTTCAAAATAAGACATGGCCTTTGGCTTGCTTCATTCATGATTTAAACTTTATGGCCAATAGCAATATTCTGCATTGATAACCCAGGATGCCTAAAAGAGAATAGCTGTCCTTACCTCCTGCAGGGGCAGAATCTGTCTATATACAGTATATACCAGGAGTTATTTTCCAGTTCTCTTGCTGTTGTGCCAGTATTAGATGACATCTCAGCAGCTTGATTGGTATATGATTAATCAGCACAGTGTTTCTTGGCAATATCCCACATAGATACATATTTTTGTAGGAGACAGATAGATTTCTTTTGTTCTTTTATTTTTACAGTTACATGGGAATTGGGCTTTCGGCACAGGGTGTGAACATGAACAGACTACCAGGTATGTTTCAGTATTTATTACGTTTGGTAAGTTACTTACATTGGTTAATTGCGTTATTTTAAAATAGGCTTGACCTTGATGGGAAGGTTCTGGTAAGCAACAGAGTATAGGATGACATCTCTGTGTTTTATCTGTTACCTGAATTATGTAAAGGTTGCAGCTAAAAAGTTTAGCTTTTTATTGTTTTCCTGTATGTTTGCTCTTATACTACTTCCCTCAATATTAGTGTTATTTATACCATTATGCAGATGCTTTTTAGTGAACAGAAACATTTTTAAATTTTCATCATGTTTCCTAATAAAAAAGAAGCTATAGATTTCCTTGCTCTGTAAACTCAATTTCAAACAATAAAGATGAGCTACTGTGATAAAAACTTTGTCAAACACAGAGTGAGCTCTGCTACTGTCAGTTTCCATCCCATTACCTTTCCAACCTTTATAGTAAGGATGTGTAGCATATTTTTAAGTTTTGACTGTTCCATTGACCTGCATAATCCAGGGATGCTGTCTTGTTAACAATTGTCTGCAGTATCTCTGTATAGTATTTAAAGTTTTGTGTGTGTGTGTATGTGTTGAGGCATTTTTAATAGATCTTTAATGTAAAAGAAATCCAATAAACCCAACCACAAAAAAAACCCCAACCCTGCTTTTTTTGAAATTGTTACTATTATCCAAGTATAAAATCATGTTGAATTGACCTTAAAGTATCCATATTTTGTTTCTTTTACATTGCTCCTTTCTCACCCCAATGTTCTGGTGGAGATCCTTATGATGAGAGCAAGTCCCAGTTACGCTGTGAACCCAGCTAAGGGGGATGAATTATTAGTGGGTGGCATTAAGTCTATTTAGAATGTGATTTAGGATGCATTGCAAATAATTACCAAAGATACTACTAATCAATGTAACTGCGGTAATTTGGGGTGTGTAATTTACTGAGAGGTGCTTAATGTGGTGCCAGGTGAAGCTACTGATCATACAGATTAAGGGCCTAAGTATGGAAAATACTTTCAAATTAACGTTTAAGCAGCAACTTGACAGAAGAAGAATAAACCCACACTCTTTAAAAATAATCTGAAATATCTCTGAAATTTGGTGATTTGTGTTAAAGATCATGCTTTAGTTGTCAGTATAAATTCTTACAGTCAGAATGCGCATATATATATATCTGAAATTTGGTGATTTGTGTTAAAGATCATGCTTTATATTATTTTGAATAGGCATCTAATAGATCTGTAGAGAAGATTTTGTGGTGCCTGAAATTTTACTCCTTTCCTATGTGTTTTTGTTTAGTATTGAATTGCAGAGAGTGTAGACAGGTATTTTTAAATGAGCTCAGACTAAAATTGCTTGCTGTGAATTTCCTTGAGTAGTGTAACAATATGAAGCTTCTTAACTGGTTCTGCAGCTTCTTCACCTGCAAAATTAGCACCATATTTGCATACGTAATGATTTGCCTGCTGGCTGTGACTTTCACTTGTATTGATAATTTTTTTTCCTCCTTCTCTTTTTTAATTTTTAGGGGCAGCAGGGATAGTGACACTATAGTCTGGAGATTCTGCTATTATGCAGAGACTGCTTGCTGCTGAATAGTCATTGAGAATAATCAGGAGTAGAAATGTGTTTCCCCAGAGATGCATGTTTGGGTTTTAGCCAGGAAGAATTTGATTATGACATATGGTAGCAATAGTTTTGCAAAATGAAAGGGAGAACAAGAGAATCTTCACTGCTTTATTGGGACACGTCATATCTGCATACAGCTTTTCAAATTCCAGCATTGTAGCTGATCACATTTTTGGCGTTGATAATTTTGTGTTGTTCACCACTTAAAGAGGAAAATGTGTTACCTGAATTTGCATTATCTGTTGTGTACTACAAATGGAATTACCTGTTCAGCCATTTTGATAAAAAAAGTTGTCACTTTTTAAAATGAAACAGATTTTTTTAGTTAGGTAAGAAATCTTAGAAATTAGAAGCTAAGCATAGTAATTAACTGTATTAACCTAGTTAAAATACATTAACTTTGCATAGTCTTTTCATTATTTCATAATGAAGGAAATGACTAAATTGCAAATGCTTTTGTTCTCCAGGTTGGGATAAACATTCATATGGTTACCACGGAGATGATGGACATTCATTCTGTTCCTCTGGAACTGGACAACCCTATGGCCCAACGTTTACTACGGGTGATGTCATTGGTTGTTGTGTCAACCTTATCAATAATACCTGCTTCTACACAAAGAATGGACACAGCTTGGGTATGGAGAAACGTTATCTTTAATGATAACATTATGTCTGTAAGTCTGTTGTAAATTTGAAACTCTCTTCGTGTCAGGAGCAAAGTGTTCAAATAGTTATTTCAATAGTCTCTTAATCTCTGAATTAGTTAAAGAATAATGAAAAAAAGGAAGAATGATTTCTTATGTGCCACTTCCATTAACGCTCCTTGTGAATTTGAAAGGATTTGTCATAGCATCTCATTTCACAGGAACAGCATTTCCTCCTCTACTAAATCCACAAATACTTGATATATATAACATAAGGTAATAGATATAAGAGAATCAGAGAAATGGAGAGTAGATATAGATAAAATTCATTGCTGCTGTATTTGGGGACACCTATCCTTCATGAAAACCTTACATCAGATGGGCAACACTTTGAACATACATTGGGGAACAGTGTCTTTTGGATTCCCAGCCTGGAGCCATACATAGTTGAACTAAGGCTATGAATTTTACGATGTGTGCTAAAACTAAGTCCATTTAATCCTTGTGGTAAACTTTAGCATTATGCAACACCACAAGACAACTTTTGAGTTTGAAGATGGCAGGAAGGGTTAGTTAAAATTTTTGTTGCAATATATATTCAGTTACTTAAAGCAGTTTAATAAGCAAAGATACAGAGTGTAAAGAAAGAAGAAAAATAAACAACACTACTTCCTGCAGTAGGGAAAGAGCAAGAGCTTGGAAAGACATCTTGAAATTGTGCTGAGAGGAGTAGGATGTTGCAAGGGATAAAGCTCCGAAAGAAGAAAAAAGATTTTTGTCACGGATAGAAATGTGTTAAGGAAAGGAGAGGCGTACTTGAAATGAAGTAAGAGGGTATTGAGATAGGGACTCTTGAAATCACTTTTCTATTTTCTTGCATTACCAAAGATGAGGAAGGTTTGGAAAGTAGTAAGGGAAAGGACATGGTTTAAATTCTTCTCCTTGTCTCTCAGAACAAGATTGCTTGTTCACTCAGGCCCTGAGCAAACAGGTTTAACTTTGGAGTCGTCCTGCCCCTACTCAGAGCAGGGCTTGGATGGCTCCAGAAATCTATTCCAAGTAATCACTTCTGTGATTCTATTCTATCATGATTTAATGTTTCTTCTAAATTTAGTGAGGCTGTGTACTCAGGCTTAATACCTTGACACCTACGGCAGTGGGACACTTGAACCATGCACTGTAGAGTTCTTTCTTTTGACACTCTTTCAGAGTATGTGTCAGAATGGAAGATAACAGGCTCATGTTGTGTTTGCCCTAGTCTTTAGCTGGGTTAAAGCTGAGAAGGGAAGTCTTCCCTTCTTGGAACTAGTAACATTGTGCCTGTAGTCTTGCCTTACTCCCTTCTTGGAACTAGTAACATTGTGCCTGCAGGTAAGTTGGATCAGATTGTTGATCAACTGGAGAGACGTTGGTTTTCTACTGCCTTTATTGGTTACATGCATGGAAGAGCTAAGAAGGGAGGAGCAGAACCTCCTCTTTGAGTGGAAGTCTTAAAGCAGACTGGATTAGGCCAACTGTGAAACAACACTCCGAGTGATTAAAATCTGTTTGAAGAGGAGAACGGAATGGCATAGGTGAGGAGAGGCTAGTAAAATGTCATCTGTCATAGACAGAGTCTGACAAACACTTTGTGGGTTTCAGAAGGAAATCTGACAGCTGTTCTGCTGTCGTGGGCTTTGCTAGCTTGAATTTCTGACAGGGGAAAATCGATTCTGTGTTTAGGAGAAAAAGAAATTAGAAATTTTGGCTGCCTTGCTGCTGCTGGTTGTCCAAAATTCCTATACGATTGTGACTTGGAGGACATTTGTGTTTCTTCTCTGGGCCACAGATACACTCCAGAGTATTGGAAGTCTCTGGCTCAGCCTGGAATTTGATGCTAAAAAAGGGCTAAGCAATTATTTATGCAAGTGTGAAATCCTGGCCTGAAAAATCCCAAAACCAGCACCCCGAAAAAACCCAATACCTACATGTCACTCAGTCATGATTTACCTCTCTTGCCTACTGCTATGATTATTTTGGAAGAAGGGCAAGTTGAATGTCAAAATGTGCCAAAAAGAGAAAGTAGTAATAGCTTAGAAAAAGTTAAGGTGTGAACAGGTAGTAAATAAAATGATAGCTTTGAGATGTGATGGGAGGAAACAGATTGACTCTATTTGTCATTCTTTGGTATCTAAGATGTGAGTAAGGAATCCAGATGCTCTTGAGATTTTAAATCTTGGTGAAGAATGAATCTGCAGGGGTGGAATTGAGGACAAAAGGGTAAAAGCTTTGGTTTTATCTTAAATTTGAAAAGGCAGTGATAAAAAAATAAGAGTTTGAAGAGATAAGTGGATTCAAATCATGCACTTGTAAAAAATATAAAATGGAAGAAATACTTGCAACAGTAAAGGAAATTATGAAATGCTGTTACCATTTGGCAGTCAGAGGAGATTTCCTGTTACTTATTTTTTTAATATTTAATTTTATAACGAGATACTAAGCTCTTCTGTTTGAAAACCAAAACAAACCACCCTGGTGTGGATTAGAGTAAAACGTTTACCAGGCTGTTTTGGAGTATTATGAGTATGTTGCTGCTCATGTAAAGATAACACCAACCAATGAAGAAAAGTAATAGCAACTAAGAAAAGCCACTGTTAAATCTTGGCATGTCAGCAATAAGACAAGCAAGTGAGAAAAAGATCCTCAGATGTTCTCATTTTTCCTGTTAATTTTAATCTATAGCCAGAATTTGCATACTTTTTTAATCTGTGCATCTGTATGCTGTTTGCTAAATCTTAAGACCTATTTTGAAGAGGTGAGGGCAAATTGAGTGTTTTTGAATGGAAATTATGTTTTGCCAGATATTGCCCTTTATTACTCAAGCACATCAGTTGTGCCTAAGCATCATGGATGTCACCATACTTTACCTATTTTTGAGATGGTTTGGGTGAGTTTTCTGAACTTATAATGACACACTTAAGGAAATGAGGCTGGAATCCAGACATGTGGATATTAATCTTAATTTTCTCTTCATTACAGGCATCGCTTTCACAGATTTACCGGTAAGATAAGTGCATTTTCAAACAGCTTTCATGTGTATTATAAACAGATGTTTCAAATGTAACTTGCATTTACCTTATGCTTCTTGGAAATACAATGATAATCTTCTTAACCAATTTAATATCAGATATTTCTCCTCATCATTTCAGTGATGATTTGTTAATTGAAGCAAAAAGGTGTTTTTTTTTTTCCATTTCTACACCGATCCTCACAGGGGTTTTCCTTTTCAGGTTTTTAACATTCAGGCATTTCTAATGAAAGTTTAGCAGAAAATAATGCATACCAGTAGTTATTATATAATGTCTTTGACATGTGCAGGCCTTACACACAAAGTCAAAGCTGCATTAAACACCAGCATTGTGCATGTGTGTACACAGTTGTGTATCATATTCAGAAAGGCTGGCTACTTAAGTGTTGTGGTTTAAGCTGGATTGGACAATGTCCTCAAACCAGGACATTGTGACAAGGTCACTGTAACTCATGCTTGATGCCTAATATTCAAAATCTTTCTCTGTACTGTTCACTCCATAAAATCAAATGTATCAAAGTCATTTATTCTTTTTTAAAGAAAGCTGCAGTTATGTGAAGCTTTTCCATCAGTGAAATTGTACTTTCCTTGAAGTCATTATAAATGTGTTTCCTTATTTTGTTTTTTTCACATCCACTTAATTTCTGATTTAATCTAGTTAGGGTGCAGTGTTTGAGATGGTTCCATCTGGCCAGCTGCTCTGTTTGCTGTGGCCTTAGGAGGCAAAGGCAGATACTAAGGAAAAATGAAGTCAATAACTCAGGGCACCTCTGGGATGCTTCATGTAGGAAGGCACTGCCGCTGTCCTGGATCCATGGGATGCAGCGGGGCTCCTTGGTAGCCCGTGGTCCCAGCACAGCAAAACTGACACTGTAACCTGAAGTGTGAAGCTGGACCCCTCCTCGTTAGAATGGATTGTTTTCATCTCAGTAAAAGATTTGAGACTTACACTTGGTTGATTAGTCTACGCTAGGTAACACTACGAGCAAGTTTTATTTGGAGGAAAAAAAAGGGAGTGGTGTTGGGGGTAGATGGCTTGGGCATGGTTTTAATAGCAGGAGTATTTATTTTTTCTTCAGTTTCACTGAACTTCAGTGTTCCTACTGACCTGCATGTTGATATCTTCTTTTTGATAGCTTTAATTTATTTAGTCATATAATTCTGTAGATGAGCGTACCATTGTTACCGTACCACCATTGACTGCAGTGTAACTATGATGTAGGTATATTTATAAATTTAAAAAAAAACAAAAAAACCCCCCAAAAACAACAACAAAAAAGAAAACCTCACACCCACCCAAAACTCCCAAAAACCCCAAAAACAACAACAAAAAGAAAACCTCACACCCACCCAAAACTCCAAGAGATGCATTGCCGTTTCTGAGGTGCTGGTTGCATTTAAGAGAGTTACTTCAATCCCAACAGGCAGATTTTACTTTTCTCATTTGGCATATTTCAAATTTGCATGGAGACCTAATCTCTAAGCAGAAAATAAAACTGAGACAACAATAAATGCTTTAAAGTCTTTTTCTAGATACAAGTCCAGGAATTCACGAGAACTTCAATGCACTGTTACAGTTCTTTTTAGGCGCTACACTTGGACTTTGAGGCTAATGAGTTCTCTATCCTGTCAGTTCTTACCACTAAAATTCAGCGATGTTTTAAGTATTTCACCCAAAAGGAAAATGGCCCACTTTGTAAGTTTAATTTTTGTTCTCTTTTTAAAAGACACTTTAATCCTGGTCTTTAAAAATCATTTAAAAATTGGTATTTAATCTTTTGTAAAATTGAAAACAAAAGTTGTAAACTTTAGCACAGTTTAAAAAGTACATTTTCTGACTAGAAAGAGAATGATCAGTAAGGCTTTCTTATTTCAAAGTTAAAAAATTATGAGCACTGGGAATAAAAATTAGTCAGTCGTCGTATTGCTGAATTGATGGAAGTTGCTTTAACTGCTGGACAGATGATCCAGAGGTATTTGCTTCTTCACACTACTAGTAGCATTGGGGTGGTTATTACAGAGATGAAAAAAAAAGTGGGGAATTCAGAATAAGAGGAAAAAAAACTAATTAAAAAATTTCTTGCAGCCAAACTTGTACCCTACAGTAGGGCTTCAAACACCGGGAGAGGTTGTGGATGCTAATTTTGGACAACACCCATTTGTATTTGATATTGAAGACTATATGAGAGAATGGAGAACCAAAATTCAAGCACAGATTGACAGATTTCCGATAGGAGATCGGGAAGGAGAGTGGCAAACAATGATTCAGAAGTAAGACTTTGAATGTTGTTCATTTTAAAAAGAAGTTAATAATTGCATGATTTCATAGGTCTTTAAAATAGATAAACTATTGTCTTGTGCAAAAAATTACAGATAGTATTAAAAACTAGTACAAATAGTTTTGTTGACATAACAGGCTTGATAAATATATTTCAAATTGAGAATTAAGAGATGTTTGGGGGAAGATTTATGTACATCGTTACTTAATTAAGAATTTGTAATGATGGCTGCAAGTCTTCCATTCTGATTTGACCCATTTAATGTGGGTTGGGGAGTTTAGAAAAATTGCCATGGTTGTAATGGGCAGTTTTAATACTTTGGGCTCTGGAAATTTCCCTTAACGTTCTCAGCCTTCAGTGTGGCTGGTTAAGTTGTGGCTCGTTAGTGCCTCGCTCGTTAAAAACAGTGGTTGTGGCTTTGCATTTTGTATTTCTTCAGTGAAAACAAAAACTTAGTGTGCAGAAGTTTCAATTCAGTGTAAGTAATAAGCACAAAAGGAAGCTTAATGAGCAGGTAATACTTTAATTGAGCCTACCTTTAGGTGATGAATCACTTTTATTAAAATTCATCATAATAAAATAATTCATTGATTATTTTTTAATTGTTCTTCCGTACAGCGTTCTGAAGATGCTACTGGCTCTTTAACTTAATTACTTTTGTGTGATTTTACTTGAAATTCTGAAATTTCTGTAGGAATTTTTCAATTCAGTCACCTTTTTCAGAAAAAGGGGTTTATATTTAAGAAGTTCTTGGTTTCTTACCTGTGTTTAATGAGCATTTCTGGGTTTTGTTTTTGTTTATTTTTAGAATGGTATCATCTTACTTAGTTCACCATGGATACTGTGCAACGGCAGAGGCATTCGCCAGATCCACAGACCAGACTGTGCTAGAAGAATTAGCTTCTATTAAAAATAGACAAAGTAAGCCTGGAAAGCACGTTACATCCTTTTTTTTTTTTTTTTTCCCTTAAGCAAATATTACGTAAAACTTAAGCATCATTGTAGAATTTCCTTTCAGCACTACTCCATAGTACAGTCCTTTGCTGTCATGTAAAGTTACATATGTATGAAGAGCTAGTTAAGATGAACCTCTGCTCTAATGCTTTGGAACTTGTTTGATGTAGCAGATTGCCTTTTTCTTGAACGGAAAATTGTGATCTGTCTTAACCACTTGTGGATAATGTCTCTGAACAAGTGAGTGTTTGTGAGAGCTAACGGTCAGTCACAAACGGGAATATAAAACTTAGTCTTGACAAAAATTTAGACTTTTATCTCAACTGTGAAAAGGCGTAGAGTTGCTTTGTAAGTTAAATCAAGTTTGAGTTTTCCTGCTTGCAGATGTGAGTGGGAAGAGGACAAGGAGAACTAACGGCAGTTCACGTCTAACTTGCTGTGCCAGCGCTGTTCGGCAGCCTGATTAAACTGTGCCTTCCCCCTTCATTTAAACCCCTGCTGTATGGCCAGCCACAAGTGTTTGTGTGACTGCACGACATACCCCACGGGGAAACTGCTCTGCTTGAAAAATAACCCGTTCGTTGGGCTGTTTTTTGTTTGGATCAATTTCCCTGTTGGTGGATGGAGCTGGGGGGCCGGTTGTGACTTGTGCCAGGTTACAACAAACGGAAGCATCAATAAAGCAGGGACTGTTATAGAAAGGTTTAGTCAACTGTAACCTGACTGGAAGTATATGTTGTAGGTGAGAGAGACTACATTTTGGTTTCTTAGTCAAAATTGAACCTGTGGGAGGTGGGGTGCAATTTGGATGTTCTTGGGTGACAGTAGTTTGATGTGTGCTTATTGATAAAGGAATGAAAATGAGAAATGAATTGCAGGAGTGTCTGCAATCTTAATCTGAGTAGTCTAGTCTGAGTACAGACTGTACTCTGAGTACAAAATAGTTGTATGCTGGCAATAAATAAAAATATTGACTACTCATTTAGATGTATGTAGGTGAAGTGCAGTTCTTAAATTTTCCTATTGAACGTTCTAAGGAAGCGTGATCTTTCTTTACACTCTTCTTTTTCTAAGAGGAAAAAGCCTTGTTGATTGATGATTGCAGTGTCTTTTAATCATTGATTTACATGTGTGAGTCCGTAAGCTGTCCATTTAACTAATGTTGGTTTTGATGCACAGAAATTCAGAAATTGGTTTTGGCAGGATGAATGGAGAACCCATTGAAACAACGTAACAGCTGTATCCAAGTTTTCTAGAAAAAAATCCTAATCTCTTATTTGTTTTTTGGTGAACAGGAATTCAGAAATTGGTTTTAGCAGGAAGAATGGGAGAAGCCATTGAAACAACACAACAGTTGTATCCAAGTTTACTAGAAAGAAATCCTAATCTCTTATTTGCATTAAAGTGAGTCTTCAAATTATACAGATGTGTGTTTATAGATGACACAGTACCTTCTGAGACAAGACAGTTTTTCATTTAAAGCTTTCACAGAAATTTAAACAAAGTTAAGCAGCGTTTTTTAGAAAATGTGTATAGTTCACTCTCTTTATGCTCTATTATTTGCTACGTGTTTAACTAGATTTTGTCATCGAGGTCCTGTTTTACAGCATAATTCACATCTCACTGTAGGCTTGTTCTCTAGAACTGAAATTTGTAATTTTTCAAATCAATTCCATTCAAATTTGGTGGCAAGTAAAACTTAAAATGTAAACTGATACAGTATCATATTCAAGAAGATTAAGAGTTTGCCTGTTCCTCCAAATGGGTGACTGACTTTAAAGACCAGTTTAAATGAGCTGTTTCACTCCTTGTCACTTTACTAGAAATCTCTGGCTACTACTGTGGAAATTCCATAATCCCAAAGAGTTATCTTGGCTTCCCAGGCACACAATAAGTCACCTTGTTTCTGGCATTTTTATTTGCCAGCTACGTTCATCCTCCAGAATTTTGTATCGCGTTGTAGTGTTTGAATGCACAACAAATCTGTTATCTCCTATAAGAGCAAAGCACTTTATGATGTTCAGTTAAGTCACTTGGGACGTGTTTGAAGTCTGTCATGCTCAAGTGCCAAACAGAATTCACGTGATAGTACTGCAGAGTTATCACAGAATTCACAAAATGCAAAGGTTTTGGTGAAAAAGACTTCACTTGATAACATCAACTTATGTTACCTTTTTCTTAGTCTGTCTTTCTAAATTTTGCCTGTTCTATTGAGACTATCCAAGCCTAAAATAAGCAGTAGTTCTGAGCTTCCTTAAAGTCTATAGTAAAACCTCCTTATCTAAAATAAAATTGACAAAGAGCAACAGCCTCTAAAGGGAAGGTTTGTATATGAGCTTGCTTTTCAAACTGTTTTCTAGTGCAAATGTTTAATGTTAAAAGTTAACCATTTAATGCTTACTGTTCCAGAGAATCAAACTATGTTCTCATTTACTTTGAGAGAAATGACAGACATGACAACGTAACCACATACCCTTCTCAGGAAATAACCCCGCCCCTGCCAATAAAACAGAACAGTTAAAACCAGAAAATACAGTTTAGTTCTCTGAACTTTGAGGACTTATTGCCAAAGTCTGTCCTCAAAGGATAATATTCCTGTTCTCCTCCCTCACAAATTGTGTATTTTGGGCTGAATACTCTAAAGCTTATTGACGGTTGGGTTACTGACATCCAGCATTTTGTTGAGTCAGACTTTTTGTATATTTAACACTAAAATTAAATCGTTGCTATCGTTGGTAAATTGAAACGTGCTAATTGTTTTATTAGCTTAGCTTAACTTTTTTGCCTTTTGTTTAGGGTGCGCCAGTTTATAGAGATGGTGAATGGTACAGACAGTGAAGTGCGGTGTTTGGGAGGCCACAGTCCAAAGTCTCAAGACAGTTACCCTGTGAGCCCACGGTCATTCAGTAGTCCTAGCATGAGTCCCAGCCATGGAATGAATATTCACAATTTGGCAACAGGCAAAGGGAGCAGCACACACTTTTCTGGTAAGTTGATGCAGAGGATATACCACACTGTGTTAGATTTTAATTTTTTTATTTTATTTTTTTTACAATTAAGTCTTGGGAGAAGTTACAAATACTCACAATTTGTTTTACTTAAGAGTTCATACTGAATGCTTTGTATAAAAATATAGTTTTAATTATTACCATATGTGATTCTTGGTCACCGGGGAAATGGAAGGTGTGTAAATATAATCAAATCTTTTTTGAGTGTGCTTTTGGTTTTACTAAGAGTTTGCAAAGTAGGTTGCCACTGATTTCTAGGAAATGCTTTCTTCCGGGAGGTGGAAGATTCTGGCGCAAATTTCTGTTCTCCTTTTGATGACAATTTATGGCTTGGATAAGGTGGTTTGAATCCAGTAAGTGGTGTATGCGTTCCATTTCCTGTGGTGTTCAGGGAATGGTAGGAGCAGCTGCTTTTGTGTAGGGAAATACCAGGAGCTGGGCTGTTTGTTCTTTAGGTGGTCATAGGGATGTATTGTAGAAAGTACCTCTAGCTTTCTAATTTTGAAAATAGAGCCACCACTTAATAAGCCAGTTGATGAATGTATTATTGGAATTGAGGTTTGGGGTTTCCTGAATGGCAGAAAGTGTTTTATTTATAATAAGCCCTTTCTGTGACCTGTTTCTATATTAGAAGATAGACTAGGGAGTTCCTGCTTTTGGGCTTGGCAGGAACTGGCAATTACATGTTTGCTTCAAATAGTAGTTTCTTGATTATATTTTAGAGGGGTCAGAAGAGATTTTAGCCAGACATCATAATTTCACAGCATGGTGTAATTTTATTTAGCAAAGCACAATATTAACAATTAAAATAATTACATGGGGAAGGAGGGAGATTGTATTTATGCGTAGCAACATGTAAATTATTTTCAGCACTGAATTTTACTGCATATTTATCAAGAGAATTACGTGATTAGGAATTAGTAAGATGCATGTCTGCTTTCATTCATAATGATTACAGTGGCCTAGAAAAGATTTTCAGATCTTTCAGAAACATTGCGTCAGTTCTAAGAAATGATTCTACTTCCATGCAGTTTTCTGTTTCAGTGGTGTATAAGTCCAATGGAAAAACCTTCTCGTGTGTGTTGGTACTTGTTAAATAATGCTTAACTTCTGTGCTGTTGAAGCCTTAAGGGTTTAAATACCTGAAACACACAGGCTAAAGTATTTGGGTTTATTTGTTTGGCAAATCTAACATTTACTGACCAGGAACAATTAAGCTGTGCTTATTTCGCTTCTATAAATGGGTACTAACAAATAATTTTATAGGCGATTACAATTATGAAAACTTTCTTTCAGGGTTTGAAAGTAGTTGCAATAATGGAGTAATATCAAATAAAGCGCATCAATCTTACTGTCACAGTAAACACACGACCACCAGCTTGAATGTACCAGAGCTCAACAACATAAATGTATCAAGATCACAGCAGGTTAACAGCTATACCAGGTGAATGAATTTCTGATGCTTCTAACTTACGTTAAGGCTTGTGTTATGCATGTGCTTTTATTGCAGAGAAGAGTTTTCAGTGGAATTTGATGTGATTCTTTTGAAGGACAGTTAAAACTTCAAGGGGCCAACAGCTTGGGATCACCCTAGTGTGTTTTTTGGTTTAACTTCTTAAGCTCAATAGACTCTGTTTTCTCCTGTTTCGTTAAAGAAATGCTATGGACAAAAATAAATTGCCTTGTTGCTTACAGCTATTTATTGTCAGTTTTCAACTTGTGGTCAGTTTTGAACTTGTCTAGTGAAGATGAACTAGCTCTCTAGCATTTGGGGTCTTAATTTAAATCACTGACATCGATTTAAGCATGTTGCATGTAGGTAATGAAAATTTTTCCAGATATTCTCCATTTGTGGCAGTATCTGCAAAGTAAACACAATTGAGATGCATATGGAATGTGGTCTGTCTTCCATTGCACACACAGGAGTTGTTTGCCTACTCAATCACTGCCACTTGTGCAAACACATTTGATTCAGAGAATGAAAATGGATGTATTTACCAGGGTTAATGTGGTTATTAATAACCAGTAAATACTAAGCTCTGGGTTGCACAGATGCAGCAGAACCTAATTTGATGTGAAATACCATTGGTACTCGGCTGCATTGTTCAAGAGGGATTCCCAAAACTACCAGCTGGGATGCGATGATGTGGTGGTGGTAGCAAAAACTATTTGAGTTGGATAGTGATGATTTGGGGAAAAAAAAGTAAGAGTAACAATTTACTTCTTAACTTCTTGATTTGTGTTTGCCTCGGCCATCTCTTCTGCCAAAAAGCCTGGCAGTGTCCAGGCAACTTTGGAGATTTTTCCCAGGAGGAGGACAGTTCCTTGGCTGCAGCACTGCCCACTCAGCGAGGTTTCCTTCCTCAAAGGATGCAGAGTATTTTTGGTTGCTTAGAAGCAAGATACTAAACTTGTAAATTGAATATTTTTGGTCTTGAGAGAGGTCTTAGGTTGTCATTCTCCATGACAAAATAGAACAGGCTAGGATGTAAGTGTCAGCAAAGCTCAGTCCCCAAAGCCGTGCTGGCATTTCCTAAAAGTGCTTCAGTGAGCAAAGCGTGGTGAGGAGTTGTAGGCTTTGAATTTGGCTCTGAGTGTCCTTCAGTGTCCTGGTTTGGGACTTTTGGGACTGTTTGCTTTGGGTCTTCTTGTTCCCCTCGTTCCACTGACAGTAAATGAGAGATTAGGGGTTTTCTGAAAGAATTATTTACCTAAATGTAATGTTCTCACAGTAGGCTGTATATTGAGTTAACTGTGGGTTTGTTTTTTTTTTTTAAAAGTGTAGTATGCTTTTTCTCCAGCTCTATATATGTACAGATATATGAACAAGGTGAGAACTTATTGGTGTGTGTTTAGAAACCAAATAATGGTGGACACGATTAATTTGTCAGCATCTGAAATTGTTATTTTACTGAATGCTAATGTTAGTTGAGAGAGCCTTAAAACTTCCCTGGTGCTCTGGTATTGCCAGTTGTTGTGGAAGAAAACCTGTGGTCTAAGTTGGTAATATTTTTATTCGTTAAATATGAGTAAAACTTCTCTTTATTACTGTCTTTTCAGCAATGATGTAGACATGGAAACAGATCACTACTCCAATGGGGTTGCTGAGACTTCATCCAATGGCTTCCTAAATGGTAGTTCTAAACATGATCACGAAATGGAAGAATGTGACACAGAAATGGGTCTGCAGTGATATTTCTTACATTTTTATTAAGTGATGGCAACAAGGTTATGTTTTTACTTGCAATGCTTCCCAACTTGAAAATTAGGGATGTTAGCTCAAATCTTAATTTTTATTTGTTTGTTTTGCTGTTATTAGATGTAAATCTTATAACCACTGATTTAGGTGGTCCAATGTCAGTATGAGAACAGGGGAAACGGGCAACTCATGGCTATTGAAACAAGCATCAGTTTCTAAGGAGGCACCTTTAAGAAGAAACACCCTGTTGTGCAGCACACCCGGGCTGTTGTTGGCAGGTTGCTTCCCCCTCTTCCCCTGGTCCTCTTACCATCTGTGGTTCTCATGGCATCTTTGCACTGAACAGTAAGAGTAGAAATTCTGAATCGCTTATGTTGAAGAATGCCAAGTGTCAATATTAAATGCTCAAGAAAATAGCTCTATTTGGGAACTGAAATGTTGAAAAAACCCCAAACATTTCCAGCAACAAAAATAGTTGTGGTCTGAAAAATAACTTTGTGTTGCTTAACCTGCTTTATACTCAGTCATACCTGTGATGTTAGTGACGAGTGAGTGGTTAAATACCCTCTGATTGCCAGCAAACCATAAAGAGAGATTGTTTGCTGACAGGTGGGATGGTAACTGTTCCTGTCCAGTAAAGGCAGTCAGATCACTTAAATGCACACAGGCTGGAGCTTGGACAATGGTTGTTCTTGCTGACTGGGGCTGAAGAAGTGGAGGAATCCAGCCCAGCCGTTTCTGCAGCTGCAGAACTATCTTCTCAAACAATTGATTTTAACCAGACATCAATTAATAGGTAGTTTAAATGAAATGTGGAACTCAGGACGTTGCTGGTGAACTTTCAGAATGCATATCTATCTGTGAAAGAGTGATAGTAGCTGTCTGTGAAAGCTCCCCAGTTCTGAGGGCACGTGCTGCTGCTGGTCCTGCAGCTTGGCTGGTAAATGCCAGGTAACTAGGCAGGAAAGCAAACAGAATTATTACAGCCCTGGAGGGGGGAGATTCAAATTTCCAGGCAGTTTCACGCTCTGAAACTGGATAAACCCAAGGCTTATTTCTGTGACAGAAGAAAGAGAGCACATCACTCCCTTGCAGCCTTTTCCCCAGCAGCTTGCTGTGACAGACATGAAGGAGCTGCACGGGGCGCAGAGTTGTTTGGGGGTTTTTAATGTAGTTGTTTTATGCCTTTGGAAAGTGATGTCCTGCATTGGCCACCTCTGCTTGAAGATCTGTGGGTGCTTCACCTCTGTAAAAAAGAAACGTGGCTCCTCAACCTACAGTTGTTTGCTCCCCACAGTTTTGAGTTTGGTTATTCTTTTTTTGTGTGTGTGTTTGGTTTTTTTTGCTTTCTGAAATACTTACGTATTCTCCTTAGTGCTGTGTGTGTAATGTTAAAGTAGGCAGCTTTTTTCCAGAGGTGATATGTTCATATATCAAAGAAAAAAAAAAAAGTGGCCACTTGTAAATCCTTGCTTGAAATAGTGGTCCAAACATATCACTAGACAGCAATGTTAAAATCAGAAGAAGAATGGTTTTGTAATTAAATTGTACATCAAAATCCTGATTCAAAACTTGATTCCATTGATGAAAAACAAAACAAAACAACCAAGGAATGGATAAATGGCTCTCTTGGTTTTTTAACAGGTTGCTTTAGTTGTAAATTTTAAAAAGGCAGAACTTTCAGAGAAGCCAAGTGTTAATTTACTATTCATAAACTGCATTAATATATCTTAAAATCACTAGTATGGGGGAATATTGTAACAAACTGTAAGGAAATCAACTGTAGCGTTCTGCTTGATTACAAAGGAAGTTAGTTTAAAATTAATGAATTAAACAGCACTTGTGGACAGCCTTTGCTGTGAGTTAATGAAATCTCTTAATCCAGCAGCGCTGGGTACATGGGCACATCGTGCCAAGGCCTCTGCTCCAATGTGCTTTCTCTCGGAGAAGGCAGTCATTTTCTGAGCGTGATCAGGGCAGGTTCTCTAGATCCATAGACTGTTGCTGTCAGCTCTGTTAGCGGTGGTGATGACGATATCATTTTTGCAGAAGTAGATTCAAGTCAGTTGAGACGTCAGCTGTGTGGTGGCAGCCAGGCGGCCATTGAGAGAATGATCCATTTTGGAAGAGAATTGCAAGCCATGAGCGAGCAACTAAGAAGAGAATGTGGCAAAAACACGGCGAATAAGAAAATGCTCAAGGTATGTTTAATCTTGAAATTGTGACGTTAAGGTGAGTAACCGTGCTGCCCAGTGGAAACTTTCCACAGCATGTGGCAGTGCAATACTGGCCTGCTTTAACTTTTGTGGGGTTTTTTTGGGTCTGAGAGCAGTATTGTAGTCAGTTGTGGTTGCGGTGTGCAGCACATTCACAGGGCAGGTGCTCTCATACTGTAATACAGTTTAAACCAGAGATGAATTTAGCACTTCCCTCTATCTCATTTCTGACCATGTAGCTTGGCCTCTTCAGTCAAAGTCCCATTTTCAGCTCTTAATAATAAACAAACTGCAAGAAAGAGGTTTGATACAGATGCCTAAAACGTGCTCTCTTCAGTACTTTGTGTGTTAACTTTGAGACTGCTCTTGAATTCTCCTGCCAAAGACTGACTGCATGCAATTTTCAGTCTGTTTTCTCTTTCCCCACCACTTACTAAAATGCTGCTAAATTAATCTCTCTGTATAATTCCCATTGGGAAAAACACTGCCTGCTCAAAATGGAAGATGGCAGGGGTTTTTTTAATCTTTTTTTTTTTTTTTTTTTAATTGGAGAAGGGCACTGACAATCACCTTCATAATTCTGAGTCAAAATAAGGAAATAGTCCTTGTTTTCAGTAGTGGAATATCACTGCTGAGATGTAATAAAGCTCATTTTTCCCCAGGATGCATTCAGTTTACTTGCATATTCAGATCCTTGGAGCAGCCCTGTCGGGAATCAGCTGGACCCGATACAGAGAGAACCCGTGTGCTCCGTACTCAACAGTGCAATACTCGGTAAGTGGGGCCTGCTGGGCTGGCCCAGAGATTAACGAAGCACGCTGGTGTTGGGGTACACACTTTAGTAAGAGAGGGGTGGTTTGACGGGGAGGGTGTATCAGTGTAATAGTCTTTTTGTTGTTCTAAACAAAACCGGGCCTATTGAGGAATGGTGCTGTGCAGGGAAATTGAAAGTCACTTGGTTGCTCCTTCTCCGTCTTGCTGTAAGAGCAAACTTTGCAAGCAAACACGGGGATTTTGACACCACTGATTTAAGCAAGCTTCAAATGTAAGTTTTCGGTGCATGACTATTAAATTAACAAGGTGTTGCAACTGCCGCTGTCGGTTCTTCTTCAGAGACTCACAATCTGCCAAAGCAACCCCCGCTTGCCCTAGCCATGGGCCAAGCCTCACAGTGTCTAGGATTGATGGCTCGGTCGGGCATTGGGTCCTGCGCCTTCGCCACGGTGGAAGACTACCTACACTAGCTATGCATCCGGAGAGCCCAACGGCCACACGGCCTCTGCGACACGGAAAGTAGACCAGCTCTGCTGACTGGAATTTGGAATTTTAATTATGTACTAAGGACAAGTCTGTTGCTTTATGTTGCTTCCTAGTTTACAGCATGATGCAAATGATTTCTAACTTAGCGTTAGGAGAAAATTTCCATCTTTAAACCTCTTAGACGACTAAGAGTTGAAAAATACCACTGATAATGTCAGACATCCAAATTGAGGAGTTACCAATCCTTTAAACGATTGTCCAAAACAAACCAAAAATCCTGCTACCTTGTGGTGGGACGGGAGACTAGAGAACACGGATGTATCAGCATGTGGGTGATGTAAACGTGGAGCAGGATGACTTGCCAACCTCCACCCCCATTGTTACATAGTTCAATCAGTGTAATTTGCAAAATGCATAAACACCTGATGGTTTGGATATATAGTGTTGATGGGAAGAAATGATATTTTTTAATGTGTACTGTAAAACTTGAATTACTCAGGAGCTGAGTGAATATGTTTGTTGCTACTTACAATCCCAACCTGTTGATCTTAGTAGTTTTTTTTGTTTTAACATGGTCTTTTCAACTTTGTTTCCTTGTTTAACTACAGACAGCTTCTGTTGTGTAGACTCACCAGTTTAACTGTTGTATTATAACAGTATTACATGTCAACACAGTGTGGTTATGACCTATTTATATAAAAACCAAATATTTAGTCAATTTACAGTCTTAATTTAATCTTTGTACACCTTGCATTTTTAAAAGTGCTTAAATAGTACTATATTGCAATAAAATGTAGTGATATCATAATTAACCAGCCATTAAAAACTTACTTCTACATACACAGTAGCATGTACTCGTATGCTACAGTTCCTTGGGGCTGGAGTTCTGGCCTAGAACAGCGGTTCTTGGGTAGACCCATGAATTGAGCACGGGGGCTCCCCAGTCCAAGGGGGGATGCCCCTTCCCTGCAGCTGCTGGGCTCTCCAAGGGTTAATGTGTTCTTGCCATGCATCAACTCTGGCCACTGAGACAAGCTTCAGTACTCCCTGAAGATCAGGGGGAAAAAAAACAACTTACTGCTTGAAAGTAACCATCAGGCTGGGCAAGAAATGTCCCTGCTGCTGGAACTGACTTAATGGCTCTGGTGCAGAGAAACTTCACTACTCCCTGAAGATCAGGGGGGAAAAAAAAACACAACTTACTGCTTCAAAGTAACCATCAGGTTGGGCAAGAAATGTCCGTGCTGCTGGAACTGACTTAATGGCTCTGGTGTTAGGATACAGCCTTCCTGTAGAGATGCAAATAACTGAAAAAGCAGAAATAACTGACTGCGTCCAGAACAGTTAAGTACAACATTATTCATCTTTATTCTCTGTAAAGGAGTTGCCTCATGGAGGCAGCTCTACGAGCCTGGTCAAAACACCAGCTGTTCTAAATCACAGTCACTGCTCTGGCCCAGCAGTTTCTGAGCTTCTCCAACCACTTCCGAAAGGGGGAGGGAAGAGAACAGGGAAACGAGCTCAGGCCCAGGGTTGTGACAGTTAGTGCCTTCTGGTGGCTGTTGGGTAGAGCTGAAATAGGAGTGGTGATGGAGAAGTGGGGAAAAAAAACAAAACACCATTGTTATCTTGAGTAAAAGTCCTTAATCTCATCATCTTCTGAAAAAGCTGTCTTCATACTCCATTTTACATCTGTGTTGAGAGCCAGCGTTTTTTAAACCTCATTGCTTTTAGCTTTTTTTCTTGGCCTTAAAAAAAAAAAAAAGACAAAGCTGTTAGTTACCATTTTCTTAACCCATCTACTGGAGAAGCAGCAATGCCTTGATTGCTGCATTTCAGAGCAGAACTGACTGGAGCACTGATAAGCTTCCCTTCATGGTTTGCATACAACCAGTGGCTTCCACTGGGCAGTGGTACCAGCTTGTGCCAGTCTCCTTCAGCTGGAGGGCAGGGAGGCTGCACCTCTGAAGCACAACTGAAAAGCAGGCTCTACCTGCTGAGGATCAGCCTGTGGCTGGGATGAGTCTGGCCCTTTTCCTTCTGCAGTGTCATTTTTATGGGGAGAAACAAATGCCGTTTCCCTGCGCGCACACAAAAGCTCTTGCCATCTCTGCTTTGTTTTACACATACCTGAAATGACTTCCAACGCCTCAGAGGCTGCAGCCTGAAGAGTATTTATTTTAGCTAGTAAACATGGCTCTTGGCCCAGATGCTGTTTCTTAATGTACCAAAAATGAAGTAATTCTTTGAAGTTCAGCCCACTCAGGCTGGAGTGTCCTGCTGTTGGATTGGTTTTTTGAGTAAGAAGATAGCAAGAAACAGCCCTCTAGCATAGGAAAGTTGTTAGGTTTTGTTCTTGTTTTTTAAGAAAAGAAGTGTACTCTAAACCACGCATGCATCAAGTAGTACCTACTTTGACATTTTATATACTTACCCCAAGATTTGTCCACAAACTGAACTGCAGCTTTTTTAACTGGGGCTTTCTTGTTTTCAAGGGAAAAAAATTCATTTGCTGAAATGGAGACGAGTGTTAATTAAGTTAAGTTTAACACAGACAGCTGTAGATGCAGACCCACCCAACGAAAACTGCTTACCCTGTACCCGGTTGGTGTCTGGTCCGTAGAGCTGAGCGTTTATAAAGTCTTTGGCGAGCTGTTGGTGGAGGAAGACTACTTACCCTGTACCCTGTTGGTGTCTGGTCCGTAGAGCTGAGCGTTTATAAAGTCTTTGGCGAGCTGTTGGTGGAGACCTGTTAGACTCTGGTCTTTCAAGCGCACAGCCGTGTAGTTCCCTTTTGGCCTGGTTAAATAAAGAGACATTAAGCCCTGTCGTGTAGTTACAGAACAACAGACACAGCAGTCAGTGTCTGAGCACAACAGCAGCCCGTATCCCATACTCAGCCATGCTTTGTAGCAGTGTTAAAAAAAAAAGAAAAAAAAAAAAGGACCTGTCATCATATGCTATTAATTATGTGCCCTGAGTAGTTCCTTGGGAGTCTCAAATTAGCCCTACCAGAAGCCAGTGCAGTTCCTCTATAGGGACATCAGTGACAGAGAAATGGGGGGAGAAAAAACCCACTAAAATGCAGGATTTCAGTGCTCAACAACCAGACCCATAGCAGCACATAACAGAATGTCCCCTGCTGTGCTTATGACTGCCCAGTTATCTATTAGCAGTTACATAAAAAAGAAACAAAATTATTTCTATTACAGACTTACACATGTGCATGTATACATATTTTACCAGTAGGCTGTATCACAAGCATATTAAAGGAGCTTTTAGCACATAAACACAGTTTCCATCAGAGGAAGAGCAGGGGGGACATCAAGTGAAGAAGAAAAGTGCCAGTGACAGGGCAGCTGCTGTGATGCCCCCTCCCCAAGCCGGCAGAAGCAGCGCCGAGACACAGGCCAGGCACAGCCAGCCTACCTGGCACCTTTCCTTCGCTTGTGTTTCTTCACCCGTTTTTTGACTTGGCCCTCTCCCTGCTTCCCAGCCCCACCGCCACGGCGTTTACCTAAAACCAGTTGAAAACAAAAAAAATTCCCAAACATTACAAATCAAAAGCTGTAAGTGAAAGACGAACAGAAATGAAACAGCGATTGTGCCATGAAAAAAATAAGATATTTTTAGTTAATTCCAAGAGGCGTTTTTCAGAAGCTCTCACCTATAAGAGCTAGAAAGTGATGCCCTCAGAGAAGGGCTGTGAGAGGGAGGGAGGGGACGGGCGCCGTAGGGCAGCCCCCCAGGCACTGCTAGCCAGCTCTCCCCTTCCCTGGCGTCAGCACCACGAGATGGGATTCATCGAAGGACAACAACTCGGGGCAACACAACAGCAAAGCGCAAAGGGGACTCCAGCCCCAGCTTCCTTCTCGCCATTAAGTACCATGGAGACCCAGCATTCAAACCATCCTCCTGAGCTCATCTCTTGTTTGTGCCAACAAATTTTTAAAAACAATGATGAAAAAGCAGCATAAAAAAGTTACACCATCCAGCTATGTAATTATGTGATAAGAGAATTGTTTAAAGAAAAAAAAAAACAAAATCAAGACACTTATTTTTTTGGAAAGTACTTTGAAGAACAGATGAAGATGGCTAGAAAACAGCAGGTGTGAATACTCTAGACTCTTGATTTTTCTAGTTCAGAATTTGAAAAAAAAGCTACCTAATTTTTTACAGATGCCACTAAATTACAGAATCACAGAATCTTCTAGGTTGGAAGGGACCTTAAAGATCATCTTGTCCAACCGTCAACCTAACTGACAAAAATAGACACCCACACAACAAACAAGGAGCATCATCACTAACCCATACCTCCCAGCACTACATCAACCTGTCTTTTGAACACCTCCAGGGATGGTGCCTCAACCACCTCCCTGGGCAGCCCATTCCAATGTCTGATAAACCTTTCCGTGAAAAAGTTTTTCCTAACATCCAGCCTGAACCTCCCCTGGCGCAACTTGAGGCCATTTCCTCTCGTCCTGTCGCCTGTGACTTGAGAAAAGAGACCGACCCCCACCTCTCTACACCCTCCTTTCAGGTAGTTGTAGAGAGCAATAAGGTCTCCCCTCAGCCTCCTCTTCTCCAGGCTGAATAACCCCAGTTCCCTCAGCCTCTCCTCATAAGACTTGTGCTCCAAGTATGATACATAAAGCATCAAGGCAATTAACAACTCTATCCAGAAACAGCCTTTATAACTTAAAATGAACGCTAAATACTATTCGAGCTCTGGCAATGCTTGGTGTTTCTGTTACGATACCTGCGCCTTATTTCCTTACACACCTTGCGTTATTTTAACCAAAATCATTGTACAGTAAACAGCTTTTTGTAAAAGGCACAGGAATCAAGTTAAACGTGACTTCAGGTTTTTCCTCAGATACTGCCCCTTGCCAACAGCCAACCCCCCCAACCTGTGACCACATCAGGCTTTCAAAAGATCTCTGTGCCAGAGTGCTACCCCCAGTCCCCAGTTGCAGCTCTGGCACAGAAGGGACACCCCGAGGTGTGGGGGGTGCAGAACGAGCCGTGGCCTACCTGGGTCAGCTGCTGCCTGTCCCTCGGGTCTGTGGAGCGAGGAGAAGGCATAAAGTTACTCCGTGGATTCACACTCCCTCTCTTTACCCTCAAGCCACGAAAGCTCCCGTTTCCCCCCGTCTTTTCCAACGCCAGGACGCGAAGAGGGTGGAGGGGGTTCGCGTCCCGGCGTGGACACCCCCAGGAGCCCCAGCACGGTGCCCTCACCCTGCGGGCGGTGCGGCGGTCAGCTCCTGCAGCACGGCCTCGGGGAGCAGCTTCCGTCTCTGTGGGGAGAGGGCAGTGAGTGGGACGTGAGGGGGCTGCGGGCCCCGGCGGAGCTGCTGACCGCATGGAGAGCGGGTGTGTGTGTGTCTGTGCGTGTGTCACCGTACCTTCTGCTCGATGAACAGCTCCTGCCGCCGACGCCGCTTCTCCTTCAGCAGCTCCCGGTCCCTGCGGGGAGGCGGGAGGCGCCGTCAGGATGGAAGGATGGGGGAGTGAGGGGAAGGAAAGGGTGGGATCGGAGGGG